TCATTACGGAACGCAACCGACCTTTACAGGCTGCTTTCAGGCTGCTTACAGGCTGTGTTCGCGTGCCAGTGTCATGTTGTGCCTTTATTGGCGAGTGTCGCTGTCATAACATGCAAACGCGTCTGACACATTCAAGGAAACGACCCATCATGGGGCGTGCGATGCGACATTACTCCTACATTACGGCCGAGATGAAACAGCGAGAGAAATCACACAGCGTGAGAGCGTCACGCGACGTTTGGCTTGACTGGCACGTCCATTCAATGTTGACAGACGGATTGATTACTCGATAAAATCATTTCTAGATTATTCGCCGAAAATTACACTACGGTGTTATTTTTCTATGATCCCATCAGCTAAACATAGTATGCAGTGCACGATTCGTGTACGCGCAAAATATCGCGAACGTACACGTGGCCACTTTGGTTGACACATTACGTACCACTAAACTATTGTTGACTAGTAGTAGCAGTATATGCATATCAAGGGCGTGCATCTAGGTATCTATGCCTAGCTTTGTGCGATGACCCTTCTTGGAATCTGGCTACTGGCGTTCATGCGTTATCTGCATCTCATCGTTCTGTGTTATTCGACCTCAAAACCCCCTTCTTTGCTATAACCTAATTATAAATCACATCAGCGTATTCCACTGACCTCACGCTTGTTTAAGATTTGATCAAATTTTATGACATTATTAATTATTATATTATGATAAGGTAATTGGGGGATAATGATCCTGTCAGATCAAGTACGGATGGGTAACATATGGCCCATGCTATGCTCGCGTTAAATTTATGCAACTGTGTAGATACAAATAATTAATTTGTGCCAAAATGTAACATCGCGAACAGCACGATATATTCAAATAACACACCGCCTAGAAACGGAGACGTGCACAGGCTCAATATAATTGAAACCTGCTATCACAGCAAAATCATGAAAGCAGGTACACTGGATAGGCGGAGTTCACTGTTCAATAATAAAGTTTAGGGTGCCATGTATGTAATAGGTTTCTCGTAGATTTGATACACCAGTTTTCTTTCGTCGCGTCCGAAAAACAAGTTATCTTAGATTTCGTTGATCAGGGTTAATATTTCACAAAGCCATAATGTGCAAAGCCTGCGAAATATCAGGTAGAAGGACGGCTCTAACACTAAAAGGACCGCTCACATGTGCCATATCTTGCAGCACACTATCAATCTCAAACTATTTGACACGCGCCGAAATGCATGCAAAAGTTCTCATTATAGCGATTATTAGGCCATCATTATCTGATGCGTATGCAACCAACTTTATCTGAATTCATCATTATTTCCACACCAGAATCATATAACACAGGGACAGGTCTGTGCTAGTATAGTTACAGAATAACTTCATGAATATATATAATCCTTGCCAATTACCCAATGGAGATCAGTGGTGCATACATATGCAGATACACAAATACCTGCCGCCTGACAAATATGGCCGACACGATTATGCATGAATACGCGCATACTAACGGCAACAATTATAATGTGCTGTAGACGTGACTATGCGCGAACGTGCGAACTATCAAACGCGTTAAATTGAGCATAAAATCCCGCCTCGCATGATCATGCATGCGAAATAAATCTACATTACCACGGCAACTATAAATACAAGGGCAGCCCTCTTCCCGCAACGACCGGATAATAACGTCACGTAAAACGACCGAACAACGGCGCACGTCACTCAGGGTGACACGCAGCATGCAATCAGTGACCGTGCACGGGTGACATTAGCATGCGCTAGGCGCGCGCAACAGGTGACAAGTGACATCACGCTGCAAGCGCGAGCGAGCGAGACAGATTACAGCCAAATCACGGCAGGTTTCGACAAAGGTTGTCCTTCGACACGATCATAGATGACGACCAGCATCCCGAGGTTGCAGCTAGCTGCATTCCCACAGACTACCTCTACCCCTTCCTCTCTCTCTCTCTCTCTCTCTTTCTCCCTCCCCCTCTCTCTCCCTTCCCTCTCTCTCTCTCTCTCTCTCTCTCTCTCTCTCTCTCTGTCTCTGCTATATCTCGCTTTCCTTCGCGTGCACTTTCTTTATCGTCACCTTCTCACTATTTTCATAGCCTCTTCTCCTCACGTAACATATCTCACTATCGTTGCCTTTCATTACCTATTCCATTACTCATCCATTTCCCGTTGAATTTCTATGCCCCACAAAAACAAGTGACAAAGAAGTAACTATAAGGAAGAGACATGGCGATGGAGGAAAAGGCACAGGGAAGGTGAAAGGGAGAGAAAGGGGATAGGTTAGGGAGGGGAGGAAGAGCGTGGGGGGGGTCAGGAATGGCAGGGTACTCTGCTACGATCCATTTGTTCCTGCGAGGATTCACCGGATCTCTTAGGTACACAAGGACGGTGAGCGAAGTTGAACACCCTGACGCAAACAATAAGTGAAAATTACAATATTTAATTGAAAAACCTGTGTATGCAGCAGGTAAAAACAGGCACTCGAATTGATATGCTTGAAATAGCCCGATATCACTATCCAAACTATTTCTATAATGAGATCGTGCTCGTTCAGCGAGGATTACACGATGAAACACGGTGGTGAAATTCAACCAGTCGAAAACGGAAGGCAAACAATTCCAGCTCTGGTAATAGTTTAGTTCCTGCGTTACATGACATCTTTTACGAGGTAATTTTACATAATATCCCAGAAAGAATACCTATGAAATGAAATAGTTTGATGCTTGATAAGCCAGGGCGCTGGGTGAAGAGAAGTTCATTTAGGTGATGAAGCGGTTAGGTAGTCGAGGGTGAGTGGTGGTGAGCAGAATGAAGCATTAGGACATGAGAACATTATAACAACGGATCAAGACGTATACGGATCAGTCATGGTCATGGTCTATTTTTTTACTATTATTATTATTTATTATTATTTTCATGTTCTTTATATTATTTATATTATTTTTTATTGTTTGGGATTGGATAGGATGGGATGGGATGGGATGGGATGGGATGGCATGGCATGGGTAACATGAGGTGGCATGGGATAGGATGAGATGGGATGGGATGGCATGACATGGCATGGATAGATAGATAGATAGATAGATAGATTTTGCGGTATTTTCCTTTCAACTAAGTGGTCAACTGAGCAATTTTTCCCCTGCTCACTTATAGAATTGCGCTCTTTGTTTCTTCCCAAAATGTTTTTTTGTTTCTGTTTTCTTTTCAGTTGCATAAAATATTTAAGTTCATCTGTGTCACTTACATGAAGTTTATAATTTAAGGCACGATTTGGTCGTTGTACGGGTATTAGTCTGCTAGTAAGCATAAATTTGTTAGTCGTGTGCTACGTACACGTGTGTGTGTGTGTGTGTGTGTGTGTATGTTTGTGTGTCGGGTGTGTGCGTGCGTTGCGTGCGTACGTGCGTGTGCGTGCGTGTGTGTGTGCGTGTTTTGTAAATGTGTGTGCATTCGGATGTATAATAAAAGCGAGTGTGACTGAACCTTGTACAACTGTGACCGTTAAGCCGAATGACACACGTTCAAGCATTACTGCGCATATTTGCTTGTATCGCTCCGTTTTTAGAGTTTTCTGTGGCTTGAGCAGCTAACCACATGCAGCAAATGGTGGTCGAGCACAGGGGGTCTAATAGGAAGAGGTTTGCAGCACCATGACCATGAAAATTTTAGAGGAGTGTGAGGTAAGTGTCAAGGATATGAACGGAATGCTGGAAAAGAACCCTCCGCTAGTTACTAGCCAGGGGCGCGTTGTTAGAAACGACACACATATTTGTGACAAAATAAACGTCAATTGTCATATCTAATTGATGTCAAGTGGCAAACAAAAGCCATGACATTTTAGCCTAATGATAGTCACCTCTATTTATAATGTTTGTGCCATTATAGGAGTAGCTTATTATATAGTCGCCCAGCACAGACTCGTGCATTGGTGTTGAGCTACCAGACCGTTAGGCTCTGTTCGGTAGCAAGGACATATAGACTAAACCGGCCGATAATTCGTACGGATGCTCGAGATCTAACACAGGATCGCTACCGCTACGGATGTTATCTGCTTCCTGAACTGATCGCGGTATACTCATGCACGCACCGTCGCACCCGAGAGGAAACAATGATGGGAGGGTGGCACCTGTGAAAAATGCACTGAAGCTTAGAAATAATTACCGACCAGCTTGTAGGGATGCGAAATATTGAAGTGTCAGTATCTGATGTATTAGGATTCGACTATCTGATGTATTTGGATTCGACCTCGGTCCCAATTCAAACTAATATGCAATCGTGCAGGTGCATTAAAACGTTTGGTTATTTGGCAAAATTTATATAATGCTTTTCAACGCTTGACCTTTCAGTTTCGATTGTAATCAAGGCGACATAATTGATACTGGTTAATTTCACCCAATAACAATAAACGCGTTTATGTTTTCCTACACCAAAATGAGTAGTTGTACATGCCCCATCATTGCATTGTACCATAATTGTATTTAAAACCATGTATATAAAACCAAGAAGTTATTTCAGTTGGGAGACAAACACATCGATTTCTATTCAAACTGTAGATCCGTTCTATCCACGCCTAACCGTCACCCTAATTCCAACCCTTACTCTAACCTCTAACCTTAATCCTAACCTCTAACCCTTGCCCTAACTTTCTAACCCTAACCTCTCATCTCAAACCCTAACCATAACCTCTAACCCTAACTCTAACCTCTAACCCTACCTCTGACCTTAACCTTAACCCTAACCTATAAACCTAACACTAGCCTCTAACCCCTACCCTAACCCTAAACTCTGACCTTAACCTTAACCCTAGCCCTAACCTTAACCATATCCCTAACCTCTAACCTTCACCCTAACATTTAACTCTAACCGATAACTGGTTACGGCAGTTCTCCCACGGCCTTATGTCTCATCAGGGAACCAACAGGATAAGTAAGCAAGTATAACTGCTGTTACAGGACATCACTGATCTCGCTATCGACGCTTATGCTCACGCTCACCTTTCTCGACGAGGATCTTCATGGAACGGAGTCGCTTGTTGTGCTTGGCGCCGGTCATGTGGGCGTCCAGCTGGCTGCCGGAGTTGAAAGACAGGTGACAGACGTCGCACGTCGCTGACGGCGCGCGCTTCTTCGCAAACTTCTTGCCCATCACGTTGTCGATGACGGCCTTCGTCACCGGGTCGACGCAGGTCGCCTGCAGGTCGGCCGAGCCGGCGCGAGACGAGTCGCTGCCGCCATCGCTGCCGCTCGCCGGCGACAGCAGCGACTGGCTGCTGCCGGACGCGCCCGTCTGAAGCCCCGACAGATACGAGCTGACCGACCCGCCGCCGCCGCTGCCCTGGTAGGAGGCTGCACTGTAGTAGCCGCTAGGCGTCGGGCTTGTAAGCGTCGTGAAGTACGTGTCGCAGGTGTTGTAGGGAGCGCTGTAGCCGGCGGGCGCTGCGGGGGCCGGTGGCGGGCCGTAGGAGCCGGTGAAGTTGTAGACGTACGCGGCGGCCGCTTGAGAGTTGCCGAAGCTGGGCGTCGTCATGTTGAGGCCGCTCGTCGCGACGCTGCCAGGAACGAACTGACAGTTCGTTGGACTGACGCAGCTCATGTCCGGGTACGAACCTCCGCTGGAACAACCTGCAAGAGAGTGGACAACAGGACATGAACATCACATTCACGAAGTTTTTTTTGCAAGAGAACAGCAGCAGCTGCAAGGGAGTGAACGACAAAACGAACATCATCACGAAGTTTTTTTGCAACTAAATAGCAGCAGCTGCAAGGAAGTGAACAGCAGGATATGATCATGAGCACAAAGGTTTCCGCGTTGCAGGAGAACAGCAGGAGCTGCAAGGGAGTGAACGACAGGATGAACATCAGCACGAAGGTTTCCGCGTTGCAAGTGAAAAGCAGCAGCTGCAAGGGAGTGAACAACAGAACATGATCGTCATCGGCACGAAGTTTTTCTTGCAAGTGAACAGCAGCGGCTGCTTCCGTATACGAAACAGGCGGAGTAAAATTGAAATGCTCCGCACACTGATAAGATCAGGAGTAAGATAATATATATATCTTACTCCTATATTATCTTACTCCTGATAAGATGACAGCAATAGCAAGGCCGGTCGTGTAGAACATGGGTTTGCTTCCAATGTGTCATGTCACTGCTTAAAACATGGACTCGTTTTTTTTCTTCGTTCAATCTATAGACAGTACAATCTAATCGCGAGGAACGTCCCGTGGGAAAAATAAACAGGTACCCAATATAAACAGCAAATATAGTTTAGTGTTCAATAAGCTTATCAAACACTCATTGCGAATATGCATAAACTACTTAAGTACAATTGGCACACGCGCGCACCTCTTAACGTGTTAAGTAAGCATTAGCCACTTTACTAGAAAAACTGCCATCATCAATCAACATCACGTTAAGTGCTATTTAATTATCACGGTTTCGAGAAATGGAAATTGAGTTTAACGTGCGTGCCCCTCATTCCCACGCACAACACACTGTTGCATCTATTTGTCAAAAACGTGGCAATTTATTCGCTGGAGGCAGCTTTTATGCTAAGAGTTACAGGCATACAAACGTAGACATACAACGAACACACACACGCGCACTCACGCACGTACACACGCACGCGCAAGGCGAGCTTAAAAAGACACACCCGCGTACGCATTCATACATGCATGCATGCACAGAATATGTGCACACGCAAACATATATACAAACCCAATTCCAATTAACAGACATAATTATAACTCACACCAATTATAATATCTGTCCTTACAAATGTAAAGTCATCCCAAAAGACGCTCGGTGTTCTGAGGTGTAACGAGGTACTGACACTACCCGCGATGTAACACGCAATGCTTTGTGATTTCGCGATAGGATCATAGTGTCAAGGAACGATTACAGTACAGATTATATCTGCAACTTCAACAATTCTCTCCGTGAGACCTATCAACAGGGCGAGAGAATGCCAAACACAAAGCGCACGGCCCGCACGCACACAGACGCGCACGCACGCACGCATGCACGAGAGCAGACCAAGTATACACAGACAACGATATGTAGCCTATGTGAGGGTCAATCTTTCACTTTCTTTACCGTAACTCGCCCAGATTTCAGAATTGGTGTCACTCAAAAGAACGCCCATTTGTGGGTGCTGGCATGCAGTAATCCTTATTGTGCCACAGTCGGCGAAGGCCCAGTTTTCGCCTAGTGCCAAACCCAAGCTACTAGTATAGGACGCTGGAGCTTGGAATGCGTTCCAAACAATGAACAGTTTAGTCTCGCCTAGATGAACACACCTCCCCAAACATTGCCCCATGCTGGGCTAACTAATTGTAGCGGAACGATTGAGGCATGCGGGTCTACTGGCTATTAACTCAATCAATTAGCCTGATTAGTGCATATATCACGGTACGGTTTACCACCTCACTGCAATCACAGTGCTAGTGAATGATAGCTTACGGCATCCTGACGCATTCCTGCGTAATAGTACCAAGAGATGTCACCATCTAGGTCAGGGAATGCAATAGAGACGCCCTTCGCTGTCACGA